GTTGGGCCAGCCCCCTCGAGCGCCCTCTCAACACAAGAATCTGCAATGACCACTCCTTCCCCGTGCAAAGATACAAGTGCCTCGGCCTCAACTTTGATCCGAAACAATGTAGCCACCAGCTTAGAATGGAGGCTCTTATACTTGCCGCTATCCTCCTTCGCGTCTCGGAGCTGGGGACCAATCAAGGTAACTCTCCCCCCTAAGTTTGTCCCTCTCAGAAGACACCTCACTCACATGCCGACTAAGCTCAGAGATTTTAACATCCCTGGCCCGAAGCTCCCCTCTCAGCAGGGCGTTCTCCTTCTCAAACTACACAGATCGGGGCCCGAGGAGTTAAAAGCGACAAAATTTTACAAGGGCTCAAATGATAGTAAAAACAAGGGACAAATAACATGTTCGGTGAAAAAGGCTTTCTCACGCTCATGACGACTCACCTCGTCCTAATACTGGGCGAGGACCTGGTTATAAAGTGCTTCGGCCTGAAACCGCATAAAAAAGTTAAGAGGATAAAGGACTGAGCAGTCCGAAGCAGCAGGCAAGGCTAGATGAAGTTACCCGCTCACAAAGCCTTCCCATCTCACCAAAAATAGATGAGGTGTTGACCTCGGAACTACCCTCAAGAATGATCGCCAGCCTCCCGAGTGCATCTCTGCCTTTGATCAGTGCTCCCGCCATGAAAGGCTCCTTGCGAGACTCATCTTGCATTCCAGAAGATGGAAGGATCTCCCCCTTTGAAGATTCAATTATATCCAACGGGCTAACAGGGTTAGCCTGAATTTCCGTCCTCTGTTCATCCGAGTCCCAGATTGAGGTCCCTCCAAACTGCCTGCCAAGGGCGTCCCGATTCGAGGAGAACTCCGACCAGCTGCCAATTCAAGGGCAGTGCTCGATACCCCATCCATTGCCTCACCACCACAAAGCTGAGTCGTGCCAGCATCAGACTCCTTTCTGGAAGCATCTATCCCCACGACCCGAGGATCCGTCAACCCCAAACGCTCTTTGAAGGGTGCCGAGAAGCTGCTTTCTCCAACGGACGTCACCTCCCTTATCAGTGGGATTCCTCCCAGACCTGCATAGATGCAGACATTAAGTACACGGGACGGAGAAAGCTACTAACAGCAATCTGCGTCAAAATACACGAATGCACCAAGGCTCAAGACTTATCGGGGCCTTCGCCTTCCCACCGAGCTCGGGATAAATCCCGCCATGATTGATCGGTATACAAGCAAAGTGAGTGCAAACGACCGACCCAACCCTGAAGATCCGACACCGCGCCAGGGTAGATCGCTGTGGCTAAAAAGACAAGAAAGGCAGAGTAAATGTATAAGGAAAAATTACCAAGAAGGGGTAAGAGCACTACGTTTACTTACGCACAGCGTTCCACTTCTCAGGAAACGACATCTTTTCCACTAGAATCAAGTCAGGCGTCCTCATTCAAATGAATCGGCTTAACCACCCATCATCCCCGAACTCCTCGCTGGGGGCAAAAAGGGGTCTCCAGGCTTGACTAAGCCCTGCGAAGCAGACAAGGACTATATTTCCGGATCAAATGGTTCAGGGTGAAGGGTATTCCTTCTATCATGCTAGAATAATGCCTGATCATATAAACAACATGCTAGAAAAAAGGGTGAACTTGACCCAGAGTTACCTGGTAACTCCGACAAAAGTCAAGAATCACAGGGTCGATTAGGGGCGAGGATGGCCCTACCGACCCCAAAGAGAATGGGTAAGTGTACACACTCAGAAAGTCGGCCTTATGAGCCGTAATATCTTCATCCTGAGCGGGAATCTCCACGACCACGGTATCTCCCTAGTAGCAGTCTACCTTCACTCTTTTGATGTCCGTTATAGAGCTAATATACCGAGTTACAGGCTCGCGCCGCCCTGACTTCGAGGAGGGTCTCTCGACCCTAAAATTGGAGGTCATCACAAAGGGTC